GGAGCGCAGGGTCACAGAGGGACCTGGAGCCTATCCCAGGCAGCGCAGGGTCACAGAGGGACCTGGAGCCTATCCCAGGCAGCGCAGGGTCACAGAGGGACCTGGAGCCTATCCTAGGCAGCGCAGGGTCACAGTGGGACCTGGAGCCTATCCCAGGCAGCGCAGGGTCACAGAGGGACCTGGAGTCTATCCCAGGCAGCGCAGGGTCACAGGGTTGGGGAACACCCTGGATCTGGTGCAATTTCATCTCAGGGCACGTACACTGCAGTATAGACTATTCAGAGATGCCAGTTATGTTAATATGTACTTATTAATTCATTACTTTAGGAATGCAGCACCCAAACAATTCAAGCAATTTCCATGTTGCAATCAAGACATTCAGAACAACCATTTTAACAGATAATGGAAAAAAGGGGCAGAGAAACAAAAACTTAATGCACATCGTAGATATGTACACTATAATAATAATAGTAATAATAGTAATAATAATAATAATCATCATCATATTAAATAATAATAATAATTATTATTATTACCCAAAAACCTCTTTCAGCAGTAGTACCAGGACAGAAATGAAGAAAACTGAGCTTAATTTAATGACAGTATGGACAGTACACAGTACAGCCAACACTGACCAATGGGGTTTCAGAGCTTTACATCACTAAGGAGACGTCTTCCAGTTTTCCCCAGAGCTCCCTGGACCACTGATATAGTTCTGTGTTCTATATCACAGCACCAGGGAGGTGTAGTTTTAACAGATTCATGTAAAATCCTTTTCCCATTTTGCTTGCTCACTACAGCAATCATTATTGTATCAATTATTATTGTCATTATTATTGTCGTTGTTGCTATTACTACTACTAACCTTACCAATGGAGTGCATTGTATTAAGTAAAACTAATTACCTGAAGTTGATAATTAAATGATGATGATTATTGGTTAATACGGAGCCCCTGAAGGGGCCTGTGCAAAAGAATAAAATGCTCTTACTTTCGCATGCGCACAAGATCATTTCACATGCGCACAAGATCATTTCACATGCGCACAAGGTCATTTCACATGCGCGCGAGGTCATTTCACAATTTTTAACCTCTTGCTTGCTTTAAAAATATTGAATATTTTACTTTCTTTAATATTAATGGAACAGTGGTACAGAATGGACCATGTTGAAACTGGTAGTGCTTTTATTTGGTCCCACCAAAAACTGAACTGATGGCCTCTGTCCGGAATATTTCTGAAGGAAACTCGCAGTTATGGAATAACGAAGTGAATATCAACATAAGACCTTAGACACACAGTTGACTAGTCAAATACTATGCTTTAAATTATTTTAAATGGACTTTAAATAGAATGGTAGTAAGAATAAAAAAAATTATACCACATTTATTCAAAGGTGCAGAGCTAATTTCTGTCATGTATTCACGCCTAATGAAGTTTAATCTCCCCCAATAAAACCAATCTTTGCTTGAATTCTGTACAACAATGTCAGAAGGTTACAACTTGTTTGGCTTCTGTATGTTAGACCTTTGGATTAATTACACTGACGGATACAAGGCATAACGCCAAAGCAGCCTGAGCAGATGACGGCTTTTTAAAAAGCTTTTTTAGCTGTGGGGCTGTTTGTGACTCGGGGATGAGAATCCATCCTGTCAGTAATATGATAGCAGAGGTTTCTTAGCAACCGGTGCGTTTGTGATTTATCAGGTTAAAGCCCAGGTAGGTGGCAGAAAGAGGTTTGACACAAGGTCTCCAGAGTTTGTGGGTATGTGTGAGTGTGTGTATGTGTGTGTGTATAAATTTTACAGCAGGTGATTACTGTTATTGTATATATCCGTTTACAACAGGCTCAAAATATATTCTACTGATACATGGATCCCTTAGTAAAACCTAAGGAATTTGAAGAGCTTCAAGTGGGCTTATCTATTTTATATTTAGTTAATCTAGCTATACAGGTGTTAAACATTTGTCTCACATACATTTTCACCCACATATAAGCAACAATAATGCAATTACTCTTGTATCTAAGCAGATCATTTACTCAAAATCCTGTTAACGCAATAATGTCCACCTCATGATGAATGTATATGTTTACAGTGGATAAGCCTTAAATAAGTGCCTGTTAGCAGGGTGCCTTGATCTCTTATTAGGATCTGCACCTATCAAATTCATCCAGTTTAGGTCTGAATAGCTGTGTATTTGTGTCATCGGTGACTGTTTCATTGCCACCAGACATTTGTTCGGTGTCATATGGCTTTGAGAGACAGAAATAGATTTACGAGTCTTGCAAGCTAGGTGTTTTTTTTGAGACTTGCAGTGTTGTAAAAGTGCAGGGTATATGCAAAGAGGCAAATGTGTAATGTATGTCACTGCATTATTGCAAGAATCCGAGCGTGCTTCAGATGTCACGCAGCAAGGGGATCTGGAAGCCTCTCTTTTTATTTACTCAATGAGCTAATGTGTGAACTAGCTCTGACTCCAAGGGCCTCTCACAGGCATAACAATGACCTCAGCATTGCATGGAAACGTGCCCCTTTGCTGCTGTGTACAGATGGTGCTTGACAGCTGATCCAGTCGGGTGGCTATCGTTTACCGATGCCTGGACCATCTTCAGGAGACGTGGTTCCCAGATAATGTCAATTATACATCTGCACTGCCTGCCTTGTTGATTTTTCTGTTTCC